AAATTAAAAACAAAAACAAAACTGAAGCTCAGTGAGGTAAAGTACTTAGTCACATCTCTAGGATTTGAACTGAGATCTGATTTCAAAATCCATACTCCTCAGCCTCCTGTAACTAACAACAAATAAATAAGAGAGAGTAAAAAATCTGGCGAGCTAAAAAGTTTTAAGTCTAAGGCATGTATATATTGGGTATATGGGATGTACATTTCATTTATTTCACTTTTTTTTTTTTAATACTCCACAGTTAAAATAAAACCACTGATAATAATGGCTACTGTACTGAACAGGATAGGCCTAGAAGAATAATTCATTGTGGAAATCACTTGTGAGTATTACATCACCCTTCATATTTCTTATTGAATTACCCAAAATATTGCACATCTTTCTGAAAGATATAAAGGAAGGTTGGAAGTACCATCCTTGCAGTTTGCTTTTAACTTCCATTGAACAGAATGGAGAATTCAGAATTTTTCATTCCTGACTCTAAGGACAAAGAAAGAAAAATTGATAGATGGAGAGGTTTCACATGCGTAAGAGGAATCTGAGATGAATGCCAAGACTTGAACAATAGCACTCAAGACTCTAATGATGATTGGGAAATGGATCATGGGGTGAAACCTCAACTATGAGTCTTCAGATGATGACATCCTACATCAAGTCTCTAAAACTCAAGAGTCAATTAGTGAACAATATATTTCTAATGACAAAAAGAAAATGTGGTATTCTCAAGGAGATAGTCATCAAGAGAAAAAAAAATCATAATTTTGCAACAAGAACCTGGATCATCCATTTTGTTCAATGAATGTGGGACAGTATTCTTTCATCTTTTGTGGTGTTTATATACCAAATTTTACTTTACATACAGTTTGTTAGTGGACAATTGCTGAAGGTGTATATATCCACAAAAGTGATTGGAAGGCAAAAGATGAAATAGAAATAAAAAAAATTTACCAGATGGTTAAAAAATTAAGAGTCCATTGTACCCACATGATAAATGGTGAGGACTATTTCTTGGTGATATACTGAGGCTCAAAACTTGTTTATTGTAACAGTCAAGGTTCCAAATAACTTATATAAAAGAGAAACTTTAAGAAATAAGGTAAAAATTATTGCATTTCTACTTAAATTGGGGATCTTGAAATGATTAAAAGCATGGACTCTGAAGCTACGCAGTCCTGGGCTGGATTCCCAAGGCCAATACTCAGTGCATGACCTTTGGCAAGTTTTTCAGTCTCTGTAAGATCTAGTTCCCTCATCTGTAAAATTAAGATTAAAAATTATTTCCTTTTCATAGAGTTTTATAGAGACTAAACATGCATGCAAAGTGCTTGGCAGAGTACTTGGCACATAAGAAACAGTAGACATCCGCTATGGAGCAGGATATTATTTTCCTTGAGTAGTTCAAACAAACTCTCCTCATCTATAAGATTTGGGAACCCGGAGGATGTGAAATGATAACTGGCTTGGTAGGCACCAGAATTGATTATTGCAAATGCTCGATGTTCATGTTCCAGGTGAAATGATCCCAGGAGGAGAGAGGTCAACCTTCAGCAGGGAGGCTGCTCTGGAGGGTCCATAAAGCTGCAAATGGTGCTTCAGGAGCCAGAGGCTTTCCAGTCCAAGTTCAGTCTCACACCAGGATTTGTTTTCCTGGTCTTCAGGTTGAGCAGACATTACTTTAGTGAATTCAAATTATACAGAACAGCATAAGAAATAGGGTAAAAATCTCATCGTCTGCAGAAAATACAATTATTGGTCCAGGCTCCTTTCTACACACACACACACACACACATACACACACACACACACCTACACAATTTTATAAGAAGTGCAATTATACTAAGCTTGCTGTTTTGTGCCTGTTTTTATACATGAGTTATCTTTCTATTTCATTCAGAAGAGGTCTACATGTTCATTTCTAGTAGTGATCTAATCTTAAGGACTGTTTTCTGTACACACACAGAATGCCAGCAAAAAAAGTGGTCAACCAAAGAAAATATTAACATCTGTTTTGAAACGACTTAGCTCAGGAACTGAGGTGAGGTGCGAGGTTAAAGTAGATTTGAAAAACAAGTGAAAACCAGAGGCATTTGGTTCTCTTTTATGAAAACACTGGAGACAATGAAGACCTGGGCCCTGTCTGCGCCGTGTGGCACGCACCCCATTCCCCAAAGGGCTGTTACTTGCGGAATGCGAAGTTTGTAGAACTGCGCTTTTAATAAAATGAGAACCTGCCTATTATATAAACATCAGTACATTTCCAGGGCTTACAAATCTTATTTTATCTAGATCACAGGTCATTGGATCTTGGCATCAAAAGGTTATTTCTGAATGCCAAACTAAGATGAAAACTGTGGGTCTAGACTCAGTCCTGCTGTCCCCTGCCAGGTGAGAGGTTCACCCTGGAGGCCACACATGTATGAGTCCTTATCCTCTGGGTGCCCCATATCCTGGGTATGCCGGTGGTCTGTAGACCTAAATAACCAACACCCCACCTCAGGGGACACTCAAGGGACATGTATCTGGCAGTCCGATCTCATCACTGCTGCGATTCATTTCCACCCTGCCAGAACTAGTAAGCATGGATGAAAAGATGTTAACATACCAATATTATTTTTACCTGTTTTTATATTATTCTTATTTTGGCTACTGCTTAGGAAGTCAGGAGTGTTTTTGCTATTCCACTTCTAGATAATGAAAACAGCTATAGTGAAAGACTGTATTATATAAACTTCTGCTTGTTTAAAGAGGTTATAGCCACAATTTTCAAACTTGGAAAAGTATACAACCTCTTTTATTCTGAAAGTGATGTAAAATGATCTGATAGGGCCTGATCAGTTTTGTATCACAGGGAGCCTTAGTTGGAAGTGGCGGAAGAGGGAGGGGTGCAGACCAGATTGTGGGGGGCAGGGAGGTGGGGATGCACTGACAGAGGAAGATTTTCAGGGGCAAGGGAGAGCCCTCGCAAACACAGAACCCAGGCACTGAGGACACTGAAAAAGGGACAGACAGGATGGTCACCCCAACATGAAGAAGGCCCCCAGTCAGACTAAAGGGGTATCCCCAGGCTGGTCACTAAACATTGAGTACAAGAAGGTAAGTTTTTATAAAATGGGCCTGGGTCTTCTGAAGAAGTAGAACCCTGTTTAATCAAACCCAGAACCCAAAGCCATGTCCCAACATGCCATTGAAGGAAACAGCTAATGGTTCTCACATACAGAGCCACCTAACACCTCTTCCCTGCAGGGCACTTGGCCCCACTTGGGAGAGAAGTACAATCAGTGGCAAAGGAACCTACCAGGCCAACTGCACTGTTCTTCTTTCCCACCCTGACTTACCTTCTCTCCTAGGCAGGTTATTGACCAAAGGAAATATGTTTTCACTACAAGAAAAGTTACAATGGGAATTGTCATGATACTAATAAATAGCCTTTATGAAATAAGCCATACCACTCCTTGTAGGCTATTAGCAGTAAAAATCCACACAGAAAATGGCCAGGGGAATGGTTTTCTCTATATCTGTGGCCTTATATCCCCAGACCAATAGCACCAGCATCTATTAAGAGATTGTTAGAAATGCAAATGCTCATATACTACCCAAAACCTACCAAACGAGACACTCAGGGGCCTGGGCCCTGCAATCTGTGCTTTAACAAGGCTCCAGTTTGAGAACACTGGCCTACTGGAAAGACCTGGGACAGGAGCCAGGAGATCTAATTCAGATTCCAGCTCTGGGTGGCATGGTCCAACTCAGGGAAATTGAATGAACAGCATTGCACGGACATGAGGAAACTGAGGTGAGATGGACATTGTTCTTCTCTTCAGAGGGTGTCCAATCCTCTAAGTACTTTTTCCCTCCAGGGTAGGAGCTATTTTATTGCTGCTGTTCTTGTTTTGTCTCTTATTTGTATTCCTAGTACCTACAGCTTCATAGGCACTCAATATGCAGTGGGCCACGTGGTAGAGCCATTCATGACTGCGACAAGCACTACTGTACCATTCATCAATGATCTTAATGTTACTCCAGTCTAGTTAACATTCCTCACCACTTATTTAATGCTCATAGCATGCCAGATGCTGAGTGCTTGTCATATTTCACCTCATTCAGTCCTTTTTGAAGTCCTATACTGTGGGCAGTATTTTTAATCCTACTTTGCACATTACAACACTCAAGCTCAGATACTAAGTAATTTGTCCAGTGTCAGACACTGAAAGTGGCAGAGCCAGTGGTGAACCCGGAAACACCTGATTCTGAAGCTCATGGTTTTAAATGGGGTGGTGTTCTTCAAATCCCCAACTCAGAGCTGACGTTAGGATACATTCCCAGCTGCTAAGGTTAGTGGTTGGTTTTCTTCTCAGTATGTACTTAAAACTGTACTTGCAGGTAGCGCCTTCGGTTGCCAAGGACTGTCTTTATATTTTTGTAGACTGACATTTAGTTTTCATTGATTTCAAGAAAGCAGATAGTGGTAGAGAACTACATTAATACTTTGCTAGATGGTTCTTCTGACCCTTAAAAAGTAAAGCCCAAACTGCATATAGAAAAAATAAAAGTGGGCACACAGGCCAGGCCACGTCCGCCTGGGGAGGACAATGGCAGAGAGATCTGGTTCTAAGGGGTTGAGTCTTAAGTGGAGTGTACCAATGAAGGAAGGCCAGGGAGAAGTGGGCAGAGGTGAGTCTAGCTAAGGCTCTAAGGAGGGAGAGGCTGGGTTGTGGGCATTACATCATGGGCCAGCATGGGGAAGAAGCCAAAGACCTGAAGTCAGCTGAAGGCTCCAGTGCTTTGACAGCTACAGCTACTGATGAGATCCTGGCTCTCCTCTCTCACCATTTTGGCTACCTCCTTTTCTCCATACTATAAGCCAAAGATTAGCTTGACATCTGCCACCGACTATTTTCTTGTGGAAAATTCAGGGCCAGGAGAGATCTGGTTGGGGTTGGTGGAGGCTTTCCTAAAGAGAAGGAAAAGGGGCTTTATACCACAAGCAGAGGCCTTACCTTACTAGGAGGTGGTCCATGGTCATCCAAGTAAGTGGAATTTCCTAGGGAAAAAGAAAAAGAAGAAGGTCGGTGAATCAATAGTTTTAAACCCAAAATGAATTCACTAACAAGTCATTGCAAATAAGCATTCTAGATATACTTTTATTCAGACAACTGTACCAAGGAAAAACGGGCAGGATTTTTGCTGTATCACCATGCTTGGTTAATAGTTTCAGCAGTTACAAACATTCTATACACATAGGTGTGTATGCACACAGACATACACATGCAGAAACATGCACCACGATTCCAGTATCTGTAGGTGGCTCAGTGTACATCAGAATTGCACACAGGACTTTTTAGAACAGATTGCCCAGCCCTGCGCCCACAGGTTCTGATTCAGAAGCAGCTCTGAGCACTTGTATTTCTGACAAGTTCCCCAGTGAGGCTGAGGCGGCAGGTCCTACAACCATTGTACTGTTTCCCTACTTTGTCTTGAGTGTCAATTCCCTTCATTTGTTTCAGTCTAGCTTGCTTCCAAGATCCGTTTGTCTTAGTATAATAGCCACTTGCTGGTTTGTGTGCTTTCAGAGTGCATGGTTACTATTTCCTGATGAACAAAGACTCAGAAGGATTAGCAGCAGGAGCTAAAGGTTATTGAGTTTCTTTAATATAGCAGGTTCTCTGCTAGGTGTTTTTACAGGTATTCAGTCATGTAATTCAAGTATCATGGGCGGGTTGTAATTATCCCTGCGTACGGAGGAGAGAACAGAGGCCTGGAGAAAGCCAGTCATTAGCTCATGGTCACACAGCTATTAAATTGCGAGAGGAGAGAAGATTGTTTTTTCCGGAGGCTGCTCGGTTATCTCCCCATCCAAAAAGCCTAGGCTGTTGATATCTCCGGCAACCTGGATATGGCCAACATGCCCACCTGGCAACACGTTGAATCACCTGGAGAGCCAATGATATGACCAGTATAATCACAGACTCTTCTCCAAGGGGCAACACTTGTGGTCCAGGGGAAATCATCCCCACCAGAAGTGAAGTTCGCCAGACTCTCTAACAGAACAAACTATAACAAGTACGGTAAACACAAGAGTACTTAGAACAGTAACGGAGGGAATAAGGCAAATGTACTCATCGGAGTAGATGAAAGATGATTTTTTAGGAAGGAGCAAAAGTGACTGGAGAAATTGGGATAAAAAGATGAAGTAGAGCTTAAGCCAGGGACAGTTCGAGTGAGGAAATTTATCCAAACATAAATAAGTGGGCTTGGCCTGTAGGCCCTTTTCCATCCTGAAGCATCATCCATCCCCTTTTTTTGTAGTCTTCTGATTTATGGCCCACTTGATGTTAACAAGGACTGTACTCTCACTGGCCAGTTGGATGAGGTAAAGGGACAACGGCCTGCAACATTCGTGTATAAGAAACACGCTGAAGCACAAACACCTGGCATGCTCCTCCTGATTGCTTTATTTTTAAGAAACTTTGAAATATGAATGTGACTCACAGTTTGTTAGCTGTTAATGATAATGCTGCACTCCACTGGTTACATACATAAACAGGAAGTGACACCTTTGCATGGCTTAACAAAGAGGAAGCGCACAAAAGAAATCAGAAAAACAACCACCTGAATCTAGAGAGATAGAACTGTCTCTACAAAGCAATGTGTATAGCTGCGGAGGGTTCCCATGTGCTCATCATGTAAGAGTGTCTTTCCAGGAAGGAGGCAGAAATCCTAACGTCCTTTAGCATGTTTTCCAGGTATCAATCTCAAGCTCGAACAACAAAATGTTTCTAAAACATTGAAAGTTTCCATTAGAACCAAAGTGCCTGACTGAAACTCTTATAAAGGACTGACCCATGCCTGGCTGCCACCTCCAACTCAGACGTGGGTCCCACTGACTCCTTAGCACCTCTTCTTTTTTTCTTTTCTTTTTTCTAAATATATTTTATTGATTTTTTACAGAGAGGAAGGGAGAGAGATAGAGAGCTAGAAACATCGATGAGAGAGAAACATTGACCAGCTGCCTCTTGCACACCCCCTACTGGGGATGTGCTCGCAATCAATGTACATGCCTTTGACCGGAATCAGACCTGGGACCTTTCAGTCTGCAGACCGACGCTCTACCACTGAGCCAAACCGGTTTCGGCTTCGCACCTCTTCTTGATTGTCTACAGGCAACTCACACTTTGCCAGGCCAAGCAGAACTCTGTATTTGCTTAGATTCCACCCTCCAAATTTCTGCCTCCCCTGTTTGCCTTGTTGGGTTGCAGGATACAGCCTTTTCTCCCATAGGCTCCGAAGTCCAAGAGTCATCCTTGGTTCATCTCCTTCCCTTAACCCATCCGTACAATCCAGTGCAAGTCCTATTGGCTCAGCCTTCACAATATTACTCAAATCTGATCACATTTCCCCAGGCCTTCTGGGCCATCCAGGAGAGCCCTTGTGTTTCTTCTGTGCTCTCTAATTTTTTCCCTACCCATACAGCCATCAGAGGGATCTTTTAACCTTATCAATCCAACCATGTTAGCCCTCTATTCAAAATCTGTTTCTCTAAGAACAAAACAGTCAGCATCTTGTATGGTTTATAACCCTACATGACCTCAAGCCCTGCCTCCTACCACATCCACCACCAGCCACAACAGCCATCTCTCTGCTCCCAACATACCAACCTCTTGTGGGTCAAGGATCTTTTGAACTAGTTCTTTCCTCTGCAGAAAAAAAACTCTTCCCCATTCTCTTCACTCACTCAGGCTCAGCTCACATATCCTCCCTCCTTCCCTCTCACCCTTATAGAGAGAAGACTTCATTTCCTTCCACGCAGAGAAAGAAACAGGGCTGTCCAGTGTGGGCACTTGCACTGGGGACCCCATTGTTACCTCCACCAGCAGATCCCTGACCTCCCATCCAGTTATGTTCCTTCATCTTCTTAGGATAGAAGCTCTAAATGCCTTTGCTTATAACAGATGTACAGAAAAGGGGGCGGAGGGAGGGGAGAGAGAGAGAGAGAGAGAGAGAGAGAGAGAGAGAGAGAGAGAGAGAGAGAGAAAGGTACCTGGATTTCTTAGGTTGAAGGCAGTAAATTTTTCTTTTCCTAATTCAGGTCAAATCTCATTTTTTAGAAGTTAAAAGTAACAGATCTTATTCAAGCTGATCCTAATCACAGGTCACATCTGTCATTTCTGATGTACAACAGGAGCTCCAAATCAGAGGAGGACATGGCTGGAACGCTGACGCTCACAGAAGGGCTCCAAACCACAGAGGAGGCCACCAGGCAGCTCTGGTTCACACCTGCTCCGGGGACATAACCAAACTGACAAGAACCAAGGCTCACAGGCTGCCGAGAGTGGGCTGGCCAAGGCACTCTTGGTTTACACCTTACACCACATAGGTTGCCCAAACCTTTCTGAGACTCCACAAATCCTTTCAAAAATAATTTTTAGACATTCTAGTTTCAGAATATATTTGCATTCTGTTGCAACCTCCCTTCTTGTTTCAAGGTAAAAGGGGCAGTAAAAGCTTCCTCCTCCATCTACCCAGAGAAACACCAGACCCCAGTCAACTTAACCAGGGGATATTCTGTCAATCCTTGGAGACACTCCTATTTGACCTCTACACACACTGCGAGGGCCCACAAAGATCACAAAGGAAAAAGCCTCCAGAAAATCTGAAGCAAAGACACTGTCTGGTCCCAGCCCAGTGAGGCACCGCCTTTCCCAGGCAGTTTACCTGGAGTAGAGAGAAGATGGGGGCCTGGTCAACACATGTCCCTGTGACCCAATAGAAACCAACACAACTGGATAAAGAAGAAACTGCTAGAAGCACTGACATGAAGAAGGGCTGTTGGATAGAATCATCAGGGTAGTGAAATAGCAACAATGGCTCTATGTAAGAGGAGAGTAGAGAAGAGCCAGGGGAGATCCTTTAGTGGATTCAGGAAGATCCTACTAATAGCAGTGACTGTCACTGATGACAGCCCAGGGTGATAGAGGGATTACTGCAGGCTGCAAAACAAAAGACCTGATAGAGGGATTACTGCAGGCTGCAAAACCAGACCTGCGCTCAATTTCACTCCCATCCCTTCTGAGGTGAGCGACCTTGGAAATACCACCTAATTCCCCTGGAGCTTAATCTTCCCACTTGCAACACAACTACATTGATAGTAGCACCTAAGTAGCCAGGTGGTGATGAAAATGAAACTAGACAAGTATAAAAGCACTTAGCACAGTGCCGGCCTGGCACATACCGGTAGTAAGTGCTCAATGAATGGTAATCATCTTATATTACCCAATTTTATCCTTGATATTTAATTTAACCATTTTCTTTATTATTGAGGAAATCAAAGAGAATCCTGGGGAGCAGTTTATTGTTTTAAGGATGAATATTAACATAAAGTAATTATTTGTTTTTGCCTATTTTTTTCTGATACTGGCTTGATATGCCTTCAAAAATATACAATTTCCCCTCAAATTGTTTGAAATACCTTTAACAATGTGCAAATGAAGTTAGAGAACCTTCAGGGGATAGAATTTATTCTTGACTCTGAAGTCTTCTTGCATTAGCAGATTTATTTTTGTCTGAATTAGTCCCCGAAGAATAGAAATGTTTTAATTCTTATTCCTCTTATAGAAACCATAATATGCATTAGTGTCAATGTCAAAAAAGCCACCTCGATATGGTGCCAAATTGATCAAATATCAGCAGTTCCTTTACAGTCTTTCTTCCACAGCCCTTTTAAATCATAATCATGAGCAACTGAAATCCTTTTCCCTTTTACTCAGAAGCACACATTTCACACACGCTTCTGGTTACCTCCAGCAGGATCCTATGGCTGCATCTCCCCTTCCCACCCCCTGCGGAGTCTGGGCCTCTGATAAGACCCTGTTAATGAAGGAGTCACTGTTGAAGGCAACACTGAAACTCCAGCTTAGTCTTTGCCAAAAAATTATGCTAATGCCACCCTTTCCACCATTAACCATGGGTTACATTTCTCTAAGAGGCAGCTGTCAGCACACACCAGCCGTAGTTAACAATGAGGAGTTTGTATGCTGAGTAAAC